TACATTTTGATTTGGTTTTATTTTTATCATTGGCAGAACATAAAATTCCGTGAGTGGATAACAAACCAGGATAGTCAGAGGTGAAAAATGTTAGAAGTGGAGAAGCTGGCCCTCAGGTGGGAAGGGGACTACATTTTTAATTATTAAAACCCCACCTGTCAAAGTGGCATAGAACATTTTGAGAAAATAAAATTTAGTAAACTAGTTTCCTTTGACATATTTTATTCTAAAATTCAAGCTAACTTTAGTCATTTCATCAAGTTATAATTGATGTAATATATGACAGTGCAGTGATTTTAGCATTTTTTTCCTTGGGTAGATTAAGTTCCTTTTCCAAGAAATGTGACTGAAACAGTTTTGAATGTTTTGTTTTTTTTCATCCTTGATCTTTTATTCACTTTCAACCATGCTAAAACTTAAAAAGAAAAATTAGTGTGTTCATTAGAGCTTTCTAGTAAAATAATTTTGTCTAAAAATAGGTTAATGATTCCAACATTATTGGAGAAATGGCTAATGTGACAGTTACGAAGGTAAAGGAAGGTGGCTTATTCAGACAACGCATACTTGGAGACCTACTTCGTACACCCAGCCAACAGCCACAGGTATTTTTGAAACTTTCCTCATGATGTTCAGTACATTTATAATTTTAAATGTATAGCTAGTTTGTAATACAGTAAAGGCCTGGTAAACAGGAGAGATGACATCTTTATTTTCATGTGAATATTAGTGTTAACAGTTGGTCAACTTAATAATATTACTTTATGACCTTTGGGAAAGTTATCTTCCTTATAATAAAAGAATGGATTTCTAAGCTCTATGCTGCCTGTTAGAATTGAAAATATATGCTTTCATTTAATCTTTGCAGAAACTTTGTGTAGTGATCTTTAATGTTACCACTTTAATGATGAGAAAATTAGAATATAAGGAGTTTAGGTGACTTTTCCTAGAGTAATCTTTATTTTCCTTCATGGCACTTAAAACCAGAGCGTAATATGCATTTAGTTTTTATAATTATTTTTATGGTCCTATGCAACTATCTTTCTCACCTTGAGGGGGTTATAAATTTGGTACAGCAAGGATGTCATAGGTTTTGTTCAATGTTGTATTTCTATATCCTAACATTTACAACTGCGCCTGATACAGAGTAGTTACATTTGCTGAATAAATGAATGAAGGAATGAAGTGTCAAAGCAGAAAAAGTCCAAGTAGAATAAACTAATTTTTATAAAGAAACAAGGAAACAAAGTTTCATCGTGCATTCTAAATTCTGTGCATATTCTTCTGCAACCTCTTTACCTCTATTCTCTATCTCTGTGTTTATTTATTTGAAGGTTGAAGTCTATGTTAATGGAATTCCTGCTAAATGTTCAGGTGACTGTGGGTTTACATGGGATCCCATGACTACTCCCATAATCCGGACCATAAGCCCTTCCAAAGGTAACCTCTTGTTTTTTAACTGAGAGTATGGGGTCGAAGACAATTAGAAAAACGTACATTATGGCCCTAGCTGGTTTGGCTTAGTGGATAGAGTGTTGGCCTGCAGACTGAAAGGTCCCGGGTTCGATTCCAGTCAGGGGCACATGCCAGGGTTGCGGGCTCGATCCCCAGTGGGGGACATGCAGGAGGCAGCTGATTGGTGATTCTCTCTCATTATTGATGTTTCTCTCTCTCCCTTCCTCTCTGAAATCAATAAAGAAATATTTTTAAAAATGTAAATTCTGATAATGATTTTTTTTATATTCCAGTGTCACCAACGAAGGCAAACAAACAGTTCTACATAATAGTAAAAAAAAAGAAAGTTATCAAATTGGAAAGCTATGGACAGATCATTGATGACTTATTTTTGAAAAACAGAAACCTTTAAAGTTGGACTCACTAGTCTTCTCCTTGTTCAGTTTCACACCATTAGAATCGGTCTCTAAAATTTCATCTAATATTGAGGCATTTTTCTTTAACTCTACTACCTAGGGTATTGATTGACATCTTTTATCATATGAGACTACTTCTAGGAGATTTAGCATTAAAAGGCTACTAATGAGACAGCTGCTGTTCAGTGAAAGAAATAATTTGGTCCTAGATTTGAGAATAGAAGTTAGAGAAATTATTGCCAATAACTCAGTCTTGGGGGACACATTATACCATGTCTTCATAGTATATGATTGCTTTTTAAAACATGACTGTGCTTTGTGTCTGAGCTCCCAAGGATTAAAATAAGCATCAGGGCTAAAGATTCTAAGGAGTGGCTTTTTTTCAGTCAGAAAGATAGCTCAGCTACTGTAATCGCATATTAAATCTTGGTGGTTAGTAGGAAAATTTACCCTGATAAATTAGCCAGCTCTTCCCTATTAAAACAAAGAAGAGGGAAAGGAGCAACATAAATTGTAAGAGGGCGGGCAATATAATTTTGCATGAATTGCTAAGGTTTTAAGAACAAAGAAATTGTAGCTAAAGATAACTGCCCTAAGATGTTTGCAAGTGTCTTAAGGTAGATGTCTGTAATCATGTTTAACCCTTGTCTTTTAGTCTAGGGTCAATATTGCCAATTTCTCCCATAACAAATAGCACTTGGGGCCATACCATTGCCTTCATTATTAGTCTAATCCTCCTCAATCCTCCTTTTGACAATCCTAAAGTGATTGAAGTATAATCATATATCAGAAAATAAAACTTCAAATTTAAAAAATAGCATATCTTTGTGATGAAAGAATATATTTCAAATCAAACCTGGGACCTTTCAGTCCGCAGGCCAGTGCTCTATCCATTGAGCCAAACCGGTCAGGGCTATTCTTCAGACTTTTTAAAGAGTCATGATATTAACTTTGGGTTCATTCGTGTTACATGGGCTCAAAACTTTTAAGAATAAGGATTTGATGAACTTAATTTGGTTATAGTTCTTTGGTATCTTTATTTTTTTTGCATCTATCTTTGTATTTTGTAATGAACTTCCAATGTTATCTGTACTTTCTGAAAAAAGTAATTCTTACTCAAAAGAAATCATTTGATTTTTTCCCCCTGAAATTTTAGTCTTTTTTTTAAATTTTTAGCTACTTAAATCCATGTGGGATCTTTGTTGTGTGTGATATTATGTAAGTAGGGTGACTGTATCATTTATTGATCAAATCTGGATACTTTTAAGAGTTGAATGGAAAACCATTAAGTATAAGATGCTGGGAAAGCAAGTGTAAACCAGGAATCTCTGAGGCACTTGATTGAGGATGTATCTCACCCTAGAGAGCGGAATCTTACTGTATTTCAAATGGGAAGTGTCCATAACACTTATTTCACTGTTTATCCTTTTCTCCTGAATTTGTGATGGCAGCTCTGAAATTGTCTAAGTCACCATATAGAGATGTTTGTTTAATTTCTTTATTGTAAGCATCATTTTCCTTTCCTTACTTTATTTCATACTTTCAGTAAGATAATTCTTCCCACTAATCTCTATTAATACACAGATTCAAAATAAAAAGCAATGTAGAGTAATTCAATGGAAAAAATACCATTGCTGAATAAATTCGTCACCCCCCACACCCTTGCTGATTTATAGGCTAATTGTTTATATCTTTTAAAAGATAAGACTTATTTTTCTCTGAGAAATATCTGATTTCATAACTACAGGTTCTATGTCTTACCACGTTAACATTGCTATTTAAACATCATTTTTCAGGGTCCTCTGAAGAAGGAACAATTCTAACCATATCAGGTTCTGGATTCTCTCCTAGTTCAGCTGTTTCTGTCTCAGTTGGACCAATAGGTTGCTCCCTTCTTTCTGTGAATGGTAGGTTCTTTTAAAAATTATTCTTACTGAGTGTAACTGTCCTTCTCTAAGAGAAAGTGGGGTCGAAGACCACTATTATCCTATAGGATAACCTGTGGGGTTAAGAAATTGGCAAACTGCTCTGGGAAAATGTTTTATCTTTTTAATCTTTGGTTGTGACCACAAACTAATCCTTTCACTGTTGTGCCATGTCTTTATCCCATGATAGTTGATTTTTCTCCTTTTTCCTTCATAAAGTGATTACAGAAAATCTTTTCTTCTTTGGTGGGTGTCTGGGACACAGAAATATGTGAATTGCTGCTCAGGTATTCCACAGTCCCTCTGCCTATGCTTTGACAGTGCCCCATTATTCATGAGGAAGAGGATGTGGCCATCTTCCCTGACTTTTAGTCCAACAGAAACTCTATCCATTAACAGAATTTAAAGATTATTTACCTTTTCTGCTCATGAAAAAATGAGGGCCATAAGTATTTATTTCCCTAATCCTAGGTGTATTTCTTAATTCTAGCAAGCTGGAACTATGTAAGCAAATCCATCTTTCATATAATTCAAGTTGTTTTTCAGTTAGGTCTTGTATGCACGCTTGAGATCTACCAGTCGGTTCTGCACCTGTATTATAAGTACACACATACTGTTCTAAATGAAGTGGAGAAGGTGTTTTCATTTCGATTCAATCACCTTCCCTATGAAAAACCATTTTACTCAATTTGGGACAGACACAAACAATATATTGAACCAATTTTTAAAAGAAATTATTGATATGAATGGTCTTACAGATTAAATTTTTAAATTATTATATCCCCCCTTTTTTTTGCCACAGTAGCAATCAGGAGCAAATTGTTTACTTTGGTTTCATCATTCTTTTTTCTAACTCTTTTCCAGGAGTTCTGATTTCAGGTAGTTCGTAAAGGTTTTTTTCTCTCTCATTAATAGTTGAGTAGTTTTCCTTAGGTATATTTCTTGGGTGTATAATAATGAAGGCGAATGTTTATATTTGCAAATATAACATTTCAATAATTTGACCTCATAAAAACATTGGCTTTATCCTTTTCTTCTTCTTTCTTATTCCAAGAAAATGTGATCAAGTGCCAGATCCTGAATGGAAGTGCTGGACACTTCCCAGTTGCTGTGTCCATAGCTGACGTTGGACTAGCACGGCACGTAGAGGACGAGGAATTCCACTTCATGTATCAGAGTCAGATCGCACACATCTGGCCTGTTTCTGGAAGCTTAGCAGGTAATGGCTAATTGTTCTAAACAAAGAACATTGCATTCATTTCCATTATTTCATTGCACTATTTCCAGAACAGGGTGAAGGGAGAGGAACCCAAACCTTCCTCATATAGTACAAAGAGACTCCCCCGTAGGAGTCAGAGTGATTAAATGGCTGACTAGTTCTTTTGTTTCTTACGAAGCACAAGTCAGGGTGACTGCTTATACTTACATCTTAGGTTATTGAATTAATATCATCAATTATTACATGTTTCTAGAACAAGCTCATCAGTTATGTCAAGATAAGATTTATTAGTTATTATTCTGCTTACCAGCTGCTCCATTTGTAACCACAGTCTCCATGGAGCTACTTGACCCAGAAAAGGTTCCAGGAACAAATCGGGGAAAGGGAGGCTGACGCAGAAGATGAGAAGAAAATAACACGTTTTGTCTGTTGTCTCATTTCCTTTGAATTTTGTGTTTGTTTGTTTTACAATGGTTAGTTTTGGATTTTGTGCTGATCTTGAACTTCTGGCATGTTTTGTGTTTTTAGTTTATTTTGTTGGGATGTTTTCTCAGTTTAACTTTTACTTAGAGGTGTTAAAATTTGGGATTTGGTAAGAGTCTGAATTCACTCTCATGTCCCACCATGGAATGTTTGAGCAAATAGAAACAGCATAATTTCTCTTTAGTATGAAGGAGGCACTCGGGGAAAATAATAATTGCTGCTGGTAATGTCCCAAAAGCAATGTTGGTTGCAAATTTGTTATTTCATTAAATTGCTTAGCCCAGCTCCTTTACAGTCTCTGGCTTCAGAGCGCAGGCCCGGGTGTGTGGTGTGATTGTATACATCTCGAGTTTGGTCCCTGATCTGTTTGCCAGCCCATCTCCCGGATGATTAGACAATTCCTGAATGATGGGTTAGATTATTGCCCAAGTTTCTTGTTGTTATAGTTACTCTGTTGTTGTTGGGTTGTTTTCTTCTTTATGTAGGTGGTAATCTTCTGACTCTATCTGGAACTGGCTTTAATGAAAATTCAAAGGTATTAGTTGGAAACGAAACCTGCAATGTGATTGATGGGGATTTGAATAAGATAACCTGCAGAACCCCAAAAGTAAGGCATCTGATTTTAGTCATTTACCTGAAATCTTAGGAATTAAGAAACATCTCAGTAAAGGGTTAAACAAATTACATATTTTCCTAGGAAGTGCAGAGTTTTGGTTATGCTTTTTAACAATTATTTCTTCAACATCTTTTTGCCAATATCCAAATACAAAATATTATTCCATATTCTAGATACTTAAGTTCACATCATTAAGGATGACAGGCACATAAACCAATATTAACAGTGTATTCCATTTGAAATAATAGGATTAAATGCAAATTAAAGATAAAATATGTGGGAAGAGAGTGTTAGAAAGAGTTCCATAAAAAAGCTGATGTCCTATCATAGCTTAAAGGATGAATGGGAGTTGACCATGTAAATCAAAGGATGAAAAAGATTTATTACTAATAAATAGTCTAAAAAATTCAGGGAAGCAAATTTAGATTTTTTTAAAAATATATTTTTATTGTTTTCACAGAGGGAGGGAGAAGGAGAGAGAGAGAGAGAGGTAGAAACATCAATGATAAGAGAGGACCATTGATTGGCTGTCTCCTGCATGCCCTCCACTGGGGATCGAGCCTGCAACCTGGGCACATGTCCTTGACTGGAACCGAACCCAGGACCCTTCAATCTGCAGGCCGATGCTCTATCCATTGAGCCAAACCAGCTAGGGCTAGATATTTTTTCATTTTTATAAAGGAGCATACATTTTAAATGTGTTAATTTTCAGTTTATTGATTTAAAAAACACACTGAAGTTCCCCATGGAATATTCTATTTTAGAATCAATCATTATTCTTTATTTTTTTAAAAAAGTGTTTAAATTAAAACAAAGACTCCAGTTTGCTTGTTAAGTGCAAAAGAATGATGAATCCAGCCACTCACATTTAAAAAATGTAGCAGACTAAGATGGGTGTCATGCAGTTGAAATCTGTAGGAAAGGAAATTTGAGTATGCATAGAATAATCATTGAGATGAGAATCTGGAGGATAGGTAGATTAAAGCTTACTTTGTTTAAATTATGTTATGATATTAAACAATCAGTGTGCATTAAGTAAATACTGTATATAAAAATTTTTCATAATTGGTAATTGTGCATGTGCAATATCAGGGAAAGCACCAAATATCTTTTTAGTGGTCTAAATGTTAGTCTTGGATTCTGGAACTAGGTTAGCTAACAATATAATAATGTGATTTGTCAGTGAAGGTGAATAAAAAGTATATTTGAATCTATTTTAAGAGCAAAATGTTACAACTTTTTATATCTTGTTTTGTTAGAGAATCACTTGTCTAGAGCATTTCGATTGTATTGCCAAATCCTCAGGAATTCAGTAATATCGATGCAATTAAATTAATCAAAACCACTATAACATATGCCTTTCTCTAAAGAATTTAAACATGTAACCTATATTTAAAAACAGGACTTTATAAATATCTGAAAACTGATTTTTATTCATGACTTTGAAAGAAAACATCTTTGGAAGTATATTTTGAATAATTCTGATTGCTTTTAGGCATTGGATAGCTGTATCTCAACATTTAACATTTTCTAATGGTTTTATTTTTTCCCCTCTTATTAGAGAATTGAGAGGGTACAGTTGATATTTCAGTTATTACCAATGGATTTCAAGCCACAGCAAAGGATGCTTATAGTTACAATTGTTTACAGACTCCAGTTATAACTGATTTTAGTCCCAGAGTACGGACAATACTAGGTAAGACATCTATAATAATAATAAAAGCGTAATATGCTAATTAGACCGGATGTCCTTCCGAACAACCTTCTGGAAGAAGCCGCAGTGGCAGGGGCCGAGGTAACCACTGCCGCCGCGGCGGGGGGCCAAGCCCCTTGCATGAATTTCTTGTATCAGGCCTCTAGTTCTTCAATAAGATCAGTTATTTGACATATATAAACCATTTCTAGAGAGACTTTTGAAACAGTTTCTCTTAAAAGTTCTGTGTCTTAAAGCAAAACAGACATGAGGTGTGTTTTTTTAAAAAAAACCATAGACTAGTCTATTTATTATTTCACTTTGAACATGCACAATAGGAGAAAAATACTGTTTTTTTAAAAGTGCTTTGTCATTTTTTTCCCCCTGTGAAACAATTAAATGTGGATTTTATCTCCATATGACAGCTCTCAGCTCTTTTGATTTCTCTTTTGCCTCCGAAAGTGTTGGGATTTCCCAAATCCAGTGAAAGAGATGAGTTGGTTTACTTCATATGCAAACTGCATACTGCATAATAAGTTGAACCTTTTTGTAAAACCTTTTTATTTTAAATAATAGGAGAAAGAAATTTAACAATTAAGGGTTATAACTTTGGAACTGACCTCAAACAAAGCGTGGAGGTGTATGTGGGAGGAAAACCCTGCCAGATTCTTCACTGGAACTTCACCGAAATCAGATGCCTTTTGCCCACGTTGTCTCCTGGGAAACATGATATCCATGTAGAAGTCAGAAACTGGGGGTTTGCTTCCACAAGGTATGGCAACGAACATAAACTTGATGGCGTTGTGGAACAGATGGGGCTAATAGTATCAGGATAGGAAAAGAAGCAGACATTAACCTTATAATACTTAGAAGCTTTTTTCACCTTTCTACATCTCCTGTTTCAAATTAAGGGTATAACTTTAGGAACTCAACTCACATGAAGCTTGGAGGGAGAAACTATTATCTACATGCTATCAACCAAATTGAGGTTCATGATAATTATCAGATTACGTTCTCTTCTTAAATGAATCCTGTGCTAGGAAAAGTTTAACAGCATGACCCCAGGGGACGCTCATTGAAACATCTATTGATTTTTCTTTTGCAGAGACAAGTTAAATGCTTCTATACAGTATATTTTGGAAGTGAACAATGTGTTTCCACAGAGAGGTTCCTTATATGGGGGAACTGAAATCACTATAATGGGCTTGGGGTTCAGCACAATACCCACTGAGAACACCGTGCTCTTAGGTAAGTTTCATCCTCACGGCAGGGTTGTTTCGTTTCTTCCAGCTTAAAGGATGTGCTATAGGTGCTGAGTTATTACACTAATATGCTCAATCGTAGAAGCTTTATCTTCCTATTAGTGTATAAAAGGTTAAGTATATTTG